CCTGCTTAAGAAGCAAACTACCATAGCGAACATGACTAACTGGCAAGCCATTGTCTTTCGTCTGCCTATTTTCTCGATCGCAAATACAGTAGAAAATATGCCAGGAAATTCCGCCAATGTTGTCCAAAGTAGATCAATGTAGTCACTACGTCGCAACCGGCAATCAAGTTGGCATGTACCCTCATTGTTATTCGTACTCCATGTGCTACATTGCTCTGAGGATGTATGAAAAAGTTCAGTTGTCATTAATACCACTCCATAGTAGCAGAACGCTGTACTCATCCTGTAAAATATGTAATAATACATATTTAGAAAAATGTAAATATTACGAATATATTCTATTTGTCAACGTTATACTAAAGTTGCAAAAATATTGAGATAAAGTTAATATTTTTGTATTTAGTTTGTTATTTACCATACAAGCCAAAGTAAAGCAGACGTTCTGTACATTTCTTTACTCAGAACATCTTTAAATTGACCATGATGACCTTGATAAAATCTATCCATAACTAGTCTTCCTACAGGCAATGATTTTTTATTTTCTCTAGCTACACGTTCTAATGTTGAAATTGCACGATCTGTTTTTCCAGTTGTCATATCAAATACTGTAGACTCTGGCAGCCACTGCAAATATATGAAATTATTTAATGTAATTTCTAAAGTATTTCTAAATAAATAATACTTAGAAATATCTAAATTTATTACAAACCGGTGTTATTACAGCAAATATAAATAATGGAATGGACGATAATATAAGAAGCCATCTCCATCCAAAATTGGGCATAACGATTAATGCAATCGCTACTTCGAAACAAGCTCCAAGAGCCCAAAAACACTGTAATACACATAACATATATATTTTATATTGTGTTTAATACTATGATGTATATTAATCCATATACTTATAATGTAAACTTACATCCAATAAAATAACACATCTTGCTCGTTGTTTTGCTGGCAAAAACTCTGCATACAATGTCACCCTATAGAAAAAAGTATGCATCAATGACAACAAATTTCAAAGCAAATTAATTGTTCATCTTTAAGAAACTTACCAAATACTTACGATTGTGGTACACAACCAATAGCAAATCCTACAACTCCTCTAAGCAATAGGATCCAGAGAAAATTTGGTGCAAATGAACTTAGAAATGCATAATAGGCCAATAATACCGCACACAAAGTTAAAGCTTGCTTACGACCGTATCTGTCACTTAAATTATTCCAAAAAGTGGAGCTTAACATCATACCAAGAAATACTACCTAGAAGTTCAATTCCCATAATAATAAACTCAAATATTGTCACATATTTTTTATAAAGATAATTATACAAATTATTACAAAAATACCGTTGTGGTCAGTGCTTGCTGGTATCTAGAAATGCCCCAATCACAATGTAAAGATGGACTTAGAATACTCAGTATTGTGATCTCCATACTATCTACCATCCAACAAAGACCCGTGAATAGAGACAATTTTACTTGGAATTTTCCAAAGCCTAATGCATTGATAGCTTGTACCACAGTAAAGGTATCTGTCAATAAAATTTAATTCAACTTAATATAATTTCACAATTGTTACTACTTCTGTTACTACTGCAATATTTTACATTCATATTTATTTCATGATTTACTTCATATTCGTGTATACGTATAAAAACATATTGTTCTTCTTTAAATGTCAGATGACATTTTATTATCACATAAAGTTTATGAAAAATATACACACCTAATTCTTTGTACACATGCATGTCTAATGTACACTGTTGTTAAAGATACTTTACAGCGTTCCATGTTACCACAACTTATCATAGTCATTAGTAAAACCAGTTTTCCCAGTGTTGTGTTATGTTATCATGCGGTATTAAATATTTACAGCATACGGTCCTCTTTCATATTAAAGTTAGGTAAACCCTTCTGTGTAATTAGAACACAGTATATAATTAAACACTGCAATATATTATTTCCATACCATTTACATATTTAAGAGATTTCGGTTTGACATAACATACCATCAGGTATAACTACAACAGAGGAAAGTTCCATCGATCCATCAGTGGCATTCTCCAAGCTTGTAGGACAGCTCGACGTACTTTGTGCGCCAACATTTAGCTCAGCACCATGTGATTCTTCTAATTGGCGATACGGTTCGTTGGATTTTTTATCTGGTTCCGACATGGTTGTGCTCTTTTCAATGTAATTACAACATGGATATATTCCCAAACATTCGCTAATAGTCACTGACGAAAATGAGCAAATTGGAATCAGCTCTGAGAAACGTTTATTAATTCTATCAAATTTTGCATATATAAATACAATTCCCAATATCAAATTTTGTATGCAGCACGCGTCACCACACAAAAATGTCAGTCTGCTTTGTAGGTTAACCCAGGTTAATCTTTCCGTCGCATAGTTTAATTTCTAACTAATTGTGTCATTTTTTATTGAAAATGATAAATTTGTTTAATTTATGATAAGAAAAATTAAATAAATTGAAGTAAAAATAAGTAAAACGTAAAACGCGAAATCTGTAAGCTCTCAAAAATAGAGGCAAACAAAATCTTATTTAATATAATAATAGGTCTGTTCGCGTTGCTTGCACTTTTTGCACTCAGCATCTTCGCTTTTTTTCTTTTCAATGCCCAAATATATATCTATCTCATTTTAAGTTCAAAAATGTTTGAAGATTTCAAGTAACGCGAACAGACCTATTTTCATTCAATTGGTGCATTCATGGGGCGGTATTCATAGGCGGAGGTCCATGATTTCAACCAATCAGAAATTGAGCTCATTTGCGGCGGGACTATTCAAACATAAAATAAAAAGAACGAAACAGATTATTGATTTTTAGTAAAAATTTATTATATAGAAATGAAAATTGTTTATTAACTGTTTATAAAATACCATATACAATAAAAGAACCATAAAATAACAAATAAGCTTTATCTCTCTCTTTCTGTAATATTAGTTATGTAGACTACTTTCCAAAACGTTCCTTTCCAACAAAATTTTATTCGAAATATATAGTACACGTAAACATATTATATCGAGTAAAGTTTTCCTCGAAGGGAACGTTTTGGAAAGTAGTATACATAACGAAGACTTATATAAGTTTTTTATTACACATGTTTTTTTTTTTTTTTCACAATTGCGTCTTGCAATTGAGAACGCAACACGTTGGCATTTGTGTATATTAACAACTATGAAAAACGGTGAAAAACAACGCGAGTCGCGATATACGCAGACGTACGATGCAATACAGCTGACCGCAACAGAGTGTCGGCCATATTGAATTCCTGCAAATGAGCTCAAAATTTGATTGGCTGCCATTGTGCAACTCCTGAAATGGGTCACCTGTTTAATTCCACCATGGTACGGATGCAGTGTGAATCCATATGCTGGATTC